CCCATCTCATTCTTCATTGTGTCATGTCCTTCTTGAAAAAAAAAATTTCCCCTAAGAATGTTGCGCCAACAAATCATAATTCCAGGCTTTTTCTAACGCCACACCATGTTGGGATCATGACCATACAACCGATTGAATGCGCTCATATCGATCGCCACAATAAGCCATCACGCCATGACTGCATAAGGATGAGGGACTGGTTGCAGCGGTTGCACCGATTGCTCTAGTATCGGAGTAACTTGGAAGCAGTTGGACTCGAGCAGCTTTCTTGAAGACTTTTGAGTCGGTTTCGAGGGAACTGAACTTTCCACAGGGATGCGATCAACAACATTTTGGCTCTGGTGAATTCCACCCGCCTCTTGGACAACTGGACCTCTTGTGAGCAGAGCAAGAGTCGTGGCGACTGGGCCCTCGTTCTAAAGAATAGGCTCTCGTTGTCCCAGTTAACCCACAGAGTTCTCCAAAAGTAGGGTCTGAAATCTTCACGAGAAAAGTGGATTGATAAACTAAGGATAGTTCCATCGATCCGAGGAATACTTTACACAGTGATGATATGTGATTCACATATCAAAAGTGATAAAAACCTCAAAAACTCTTCCTTTTAAAATCACATTTTTTGATCTCAACAGATCGAAGGCGATGCCATCGGCAGCTCGATGCCGTAAATTTGAAAAGGAAATAAGAGAGTGGTCAAAGGAGGTTCGAAGTTTTTGTTAAAATCGAAATTTCGAAATTTTCGCTGCCGCCATCATATAGCAATTTGCCGGGAGGCTTTTGTGAAGGCTTTGTGGGATTTGAGCTTTTCGTAAAGGGCTCAGTCTTTGATAATCTTCAATTTCTCTGTTGGTCTAGTGGACCTACGATGGGGAGAACAAAAATTGTAGCGACTGACCGAACCTTTTTCTGAGGGATAAACCTTCTTTGCTTCATTATTCCGATATACTTCACCAAAAGTGTGGTTCGAAATTTCAAAGTGAAAAAAGTGGCTGAAGGACCAGGAAAGGAAAGATTCGGAAAGCCGTTTCAGAGGTCTCCTGTCTGTTACAGGGCAGCATTCAAGGGCTATCAGCAGAAATCTTCTAGACCACGAATACATTTTCATAGTCGCTGAAGTTTTATGGAGGACTCATGGGTTCCGGAAGTGTAGTGGACCAGAATGGTTCACGGGAAATCTAGGTCCGGGTTCGGGTTCACACTGGAGTGAAATTCTTTGCACTCCGGCCGAAGATCTCTGAGAAGCAGTCGTGGTGTTCCAGTGAACGTTCCTCCATGTTAGAGGTTTTCTGCGGACAAATGAATTACAAAGTCCTTCGCGGAACTTTATCCTATTACATACTCAATACATTTCGGATATCGGCGGTCAAACGGGACTGTGGCTTGGCAGGTCCGGCAGTTTGTTTAGCTGTTCGAAATTCCTATGCCCAAGACGTCGGCCGGGCCGTAGCCGGATAGTGGCCGACGATGAACCTTTATGAACTCAAAGCATTGTAACTCAGCGGTCCCAATATTACCCTTGCGCTCTCTCGAGAGTTGCAATCAACCGCCAGGCACGTCATGCGATTTTGCGATGACCGCTGAACCGGGAAGATTGCCGGCTGATTTTCTAGTTTCACTAATGCCAACGTAATGGGTCGCACTCTTCATGATAGCCCTGAGGGGAAAAAATGTTTAAACTTCGTGTCTCTCGAGTGAGAACGATCCAATGAGTTACTCTGGCTCGCGACAGGGACGTATGAGGATGTTGCTGGCGCCCACTCAAGGAAATCGATGATCAACGGGGTTATAGGTAATACAGGTGATGGACCTAATACCCATTTCAATGCTGCGACGAAGTAGTATGTACGGCCTACTCCTGCGACATAGTGATCGACTCTTGGTACTTTCTATATCTTATTGCTTTAACCCTACAAAACATTACCAAAAAAAAGAGAACAGAGAATACATCGATAGTATCAAATACAGTACATGTGCACGGCGTACTCCAAAGAAAGCGATTGGTGCAGTAAGACCATTAGTTACTTTTTACTGATTCAAAACAATACTTACCGTAACTGGGCCCGGCCCGACTGCTAGCAAGTACTCGATCTGGATTTGCGTTGAAAGTGTAACAGTTACCAAATGACGGATCAATGTGAAGCCTGGGACTTTTCTGTTTAGAACACGTATTTTTCTGTAGAAGTTGTAATGTAGTGAACTTACTTAAACTCCTTTTCAATATCACATTGCATGCTATTGAAGGAGCACTGCCTGAT